GCCGAATTTTTTCTTATTGTGGTCCCTCGTTGTAGTTTCATAATGCATATGATATCTATAACTTTCTATTGATATCCCTTTTTTCAATTTAAGGCAACCGACTGGCTGGTTGGACTGAATTACAATTGGGTTTTATAAGAATCCGGTCCTTCCTCATTCATTATTCTCTCCGTTGCCAGCTAGGGATTGGATCATTTATAGTATTGTCTGATTATTTTAAGCATCCTTGAAACTAAAATCAAATTTCCTTAAGTCCTGATGATATTGTTTGGGTGAAGTCTTTTAACTGTGAAGCTTCTCTTATCCTAAGACAGAACCAAGAGAAGATGGAAATCTAAGAATAGCCCTTTAATTAATATTTAGTATGTTTTCTAGCGGCGAGAAGCGAAGAGAGGTGGTTGTACATGTATTGGAAGCAGTGTCTGTAGTCTCCTTTAATGGTCCGTTTTTAGGCCATGTACCACCGACCACCAATTAACACCCTAAAATAAACGCCAAATAATGGGGTTTTAGTCAACTAACCTGAAATTCGGTTTCCGTAGTAATCATATCCTGGTCTTTCGTGTATCTTTTGTGGCTCCAGGTATTTCTCCGTGTTGCTTAGCTCACAAATTCGAACGTTACGATTGGTTTTTTCGAGGCTGAAAGACAGGCACGGTATAGGACCAAACTCAACGCAAACAGCATTGATTTTTCCAGTTCAATCTCGTTGTGATAATTAGTTGAGCGAGTTCGGAAAAAAGCTTAATGATATTTTAATCTTTTGTTGTCTGGCAATGTTGGCCTGGAATAAAAACACATTTTTATTTCTTAGTATTAAAAAAAGAACCAAAATGATATTAATAATTACATAAAGTTAATTCAAATTAAACTACAAACTTACATTTCTTTTTTAGTATTCTGAGTCAGATTCTAAGTTGTCTTGTAATGCCGTTGTCGTTAAAGGTGAAAGAAAGCGTGCGGTAGAATTGTTCGTCTGCGATATATTTTCTCGAGGGATTCTCAGCTAGTTATTACTGACCGCTGAGTCTAAAAATTCAAAGCAATCAGAAGAATAATACTCACCACATGACTTTGAGCTATATCTCCTGGGAGAGCTTCGCAAAAGTTTTAAAACGGGAGAATTATATATATGTATCATTGGAGAAAACAAAGGAAACATTGATGTGAAACAGGTTTAAGCATCACATACCTTAACATCTTGTTAAAGGTTTGTAAATTTATCTTCGAATGGTTTCAAGAGTTTTTAATCATCTTGACTATCATGAGCTTTCGATATAGTGCTGTTCATCTGGCGGGTTATAGAAAAAAGTTTGTTGCATCTTGTACGTTCTTACCGCACTATTCTGAAAACCATCCTTGGGTCAGGGTGACTTCTTACATAAAGATTTGAATTATTTTTATCATTAAAAAGTCAATCGCTGTCCAAAATAAAGTTTCATAACTTAAAAATCTCATAATATCTTGACTTACCTCATTCCTTGGTATTTAATGTACTCTTTTCAAGTTTGAATTTCTGTGTTGGCGATATCAAACACGTAAAAACAAATGCAACCGAAAACAAGCTTGATCTCGAGTGCATACTTCGAGCACGATGGGCATCGTAACTGCAATGTCAAAACCATGTCCACCTTTCACAGCAGTTTGTGAGGAAATAAACACGGTGACCCCCGATTTGTTTCCCAGTTATTTTCTAAGAACAGTCCAATAAAGAACATATTTGAAGAGGAAAAAAAGTTTGATAGTAGCACATGATTTTTTTGGGGGGAAATAGTTTCGTATTTGGTGTATTTGGGTCAAGGCGAGGACTTCAAGTTATCTAGGGAACTGTCCGAAAAAGTGCAATATCCCCACAATCAGGCAATCAAAAGCGAATTAAATGAAGCAATACTGCTTATTTGAATAAAAGAAGCTTTATGTTCAAGATAAAATTTGTTGTGTTTGATAGTAGAACAATTTCATGGGAATTGCCTTAATGGACTGTTTTGTTTTAGAACGTGTGCACTGTACAGCCCCCGAAATGATCCCGACCCCGAAATGATCCCCAACTCTGAAATGATCCCCAAATCGACCCCGAAATGATCCCCATTTCTCTTCACGTTGACCCCGAAATGATCCCAATTAATTATTGGAATGGAATAGTATTCCGTTACGGAATTATTACTAGTCTGTTGCAGCGTGTACGTTCTTGAATTGCATGTAACATTTCACCACAGTTTATGTGATTTTTTAGCGCTTTTGTCATCTAATCGCCTTTATGTCTACTTTTGCATCTTCAACATCGTTTTAAATTTGCAGTTTTCACATCATTTTTAGAATTTAACATCTAGGCAGTTTTCTTTATAACCGGGGCTATAATCACCCAAGTAATGATAGTAAAGAATGTTGTCTCTTGATGTTATCAGTTGCAGTTCATGGTCAGTACTAAAAATATACTAGACTCGGTTCAAAGTGTAATCCCAAATCAATGTCATAAAAGAATGTGGGCAAGTGAAGATTATAAGTGAAACTTAAGTTATGATGTTGTGCATTTTGCACGATCCATAGTCCTAGGATATCATTCCATTCCTAAAATTAATTGGGGATCATTTCGGGGTCGCCGTGAAGAGAAATGGGGATCATTTCGGGGTCGATTTGGGGATCATTTCAGGGTTGAGGATCATTTCGGGGACTGTACAGCACTCCAAAGGCCTTTTTAAAGAAACTGTGTCACGAAACTCGGATCAAGTTTCAAACAGTGGGAACTGCTACCAAAACTGAGGGAAACCAAAAAAACTACTCAAAAAAAATGAAAAGAAAGTATAAATAACAAGGCAAATACAAAAAGAGGCTCGAATGAAGGAGCGTAGCGTCCATATACGCACATACGCCCGTGCAGCGTACACCTTAGATCTCGAAAAATACGTTTTTATAATTTTCTGAAAGCATTTTTATCACTTAGTAATCGGTATGACTGAAAACTTTTTCGCATTAGACTGGTGTCTTTGCGTTAGTGTTTCCTTTATCTTTTTATTAGTCCATAAGCGGACGGCGAGAAACGTTGGGAAAAAAAAAAGAAAAAAACAACGAAAAAATGTACCCTTCCCTACCTCCTTACAGCAATTTCCGTTGTATTTACTCCCCAAAAATGTCCTATGGAAAACGTAGAAAATGGCATTTCCGCGGCCGTTGATTTAAAAATTTCAGGGGGGAGTACAGATCTCCCTTGTTTGCGCTCTAACTTTTCTTCTAGTGCGTACTCCTTCAAAATGAAACGGATTGCAATGACTGAAACGGATTGCAATTGTGGTTTTTGAAAACTTGTTAGCAATGATTAGGATTTTTTCAAAGTTCATTTTTTTTGTAACGTTCCGAAAAAAGGGGTGGGGAACATTTGCTGGTCATTCAAAGGAAATTTATTAATCCATAGCGAATAAGGACGCCGTAATTGTTATTGTTAACAAAATCAACCAGGGAGCAATGGCATAGCCCTTTATATATGATAATGGATTTCAGTTCTACCTCATCCATCATTGTCAGATCCGTTAAACAGCTTGTTGGATGAAATAAACCTTTTGGTGGTTTAAAAGGATCCATCAATAGATGTGCGGAGTGGTGATGGAGCGACATGTCGGATCCGTTTAAACAGGACCTAAGGGAATTTGAGGAAAGAAGCTAAATAGCGAGGGCATGAAGAGCTTTTTCTTTGAGATGTTCACGTGACTCTGTGAAATATCCTGATTTCCATCAATAATTTGACCATCTATGAACCAGACGAGCCAATATGTTCTTTAAATTTTACATTTATTTAGTGTTCAGTATCACACCAAGGTCTCTTGCAACTTTAACGGGTTCCAGCTCCTTCCCCAAGGTTGTGTTTATTCGCAGGCTACGTATCGTGAAGTCAAGTAGCTCCCGAAACATTCAATCACTGATAGGAAGTTCTGATATCCTGTAATTTCTCCACCAAGAGTATTCGATGGTTAATACTGTCAAAAGCTTTGCTCATGTCGAGAAGGACGATGGGGGTTAGCTTCATTTTATCAATGGCACTCAGGATTTCATCGGTTGTCTGAATAACTGCCCAGGGAGACTCCCATGTGGGTGTAGCCCAAGCTTAAACTGACCCTTAGGAGAGATTTCTGTGTGGTCAGTGTCAGGGCATTTGTTGTAAATTTCTTTATGCACAGTACTAAGCGATACCTTAATAGGCACATACAGTGGCTTTCCATCCCAAACATCTTAAGTTTGACCAAAATCTGCAATTTACACCCCCAAAGCGAGACGACGAGCATCCCCGTCACTTTTAAATGGAAGTTCCCTCGCGTGAATAATTGCATGCTGTTGCCGTTGAATGCTACTGTTTATCGCCGCTTTATCTAGATGTTAAACGATCTCTCAGGAGCAACTATGACACGAGTTGATCGTGAGCTGCACGTTCACAAACTTTTGACAGAACTTGGAGCACTGAAATCGGTCTGTTGTTGTTTCGGATTTCATGATCCCCAGTTCTGATTCAGCAGTTTTCCAGGAGATAGGGAAAATGTCCGACTCAAACGTAACATTTATGATAGATGTTGACGGAGATAAGATGGCAGGTAAGCAATCTTTGATCACACGAATAAGAATTTTATCAGTTCCAGGGGCCTTACTACTCGCCATTGACATGATGACTTTTTGTATTTAAACAACATTTCGTTAGGATTATCAATTGCACTGATAGCTTCCCTTTGTTGAGCTGAATTGTGATATCTCATGAAAAAGGGCTGGAAACGAGAATGCCTGAAACTCTTCATTTAATGTCAATTTTGACGTCATATCCAGTAACCATAGCAAAGTCCTGTCGCGAACGTTTGCAAAAAATGCCCCTGATTAATAAATATACAACTATTCAAGAGAAAGGGTTCTGGCATAAAAGAGGTCCTTTGTAAAATTTCCGGGAAAATGCTTGTACGTCCAAGTGTCATACTGTAGTTTTAATTTAGTGAGCTGCTCTTAACTTGAAAATTTCATACCAGAAGTTAGGCTTGTTTATAGCACCAAGCGTCCTTCTTTGTGGATTTACTGCTTGGCGATGAACTTCCAACTAAGCCTATCATGTTACCGCAACCAGATTTCTTTGATTGCATTGGAAAGCGAAGAGTGCCATCTGCCAGCCAACCCCATCTGGAATGCAAGTAAATAGACGAGTAAAAATCAGTTTACAAGTGACACAACTTCGTTCCCAGGGTTCTCGCCGACTCTAACACTGAAAAAAAAGTAGGTGAGACCCTTCACATTATTCAAGAACCAAAAACAACAAACATCGCGACTTCTTTTTGCAATTTACCTGAAAAAAGTTTAGGGCCAACTGCGGCCAAAGGTGGAGGAATATAACACACACGTCAACAAATCCCGTTGGGTGCCAGTACAGTAGCCCTGAAACTATTTGCTAGTACGGGGAAATTCACGGTTGGCGTTGTGCCTTTTATAGAAAAAGATATTCTATTTTTTGATAGCAAACTAGCTGTCAAGCTGTATCTCGGCACCTTGGCGCATGCATCGAATTACTTTTTTCCTTCCCCCCCTTCCCACCTTCCCACCTTCCCAAGCCAAACTACTTATAAGAAGGTCTGGATCCGTCACAGAATTTATTGTTATATCTCTTTTAATTAAATTGAGGTTACATATTAATTTGTAATGAATATTCATATTAAGCACCTGGATGAATATCTAGTTAGTTTCTTCTTGTATCAGGAGACCACATGTACAAGATAACATAGAGAAAATAAGTAAAAAATAAACGTTAAAATAAAGTTACTTACGAGCAGTGTTCAAGACCAGCCTGCCAGGCGGTATAAAGCTGATTGTAAGTGGCAAGTGGGGCTCCTAGAAGATCGCAAAAACGTTTGGCATTTTCATAATTCAGGTTGTATCTTGTGACTGCTCGACCCCAAAACACTCCTTGAGTAGGAGTTTGGCCGAAAAACATCTTAGTCGTGTCTGAAAAGAAGTATAATCGATATCAACTTTGCTCTCTTTTTTTTCTTTGCTTTTCTGAAGTAAGTTCATAGTAAAGTTCAAGGCTGGCATCCTTGGGCGTAGCTTAAATAATGTACTGTTTTAAAATAGTTACTTTGTTTAAATTTATATATTTATTAATAAACTTGATAGCCCGGCAACCCGCAAACTAAATACGAGGAAAGAGAATAAAAGGCTTAGCGAGAATTGGTTGAAAAGTGAACGGAAATAAGATCACGCAAATCTTAAAGAAACCCAGCAATACATTCATTTAGATGAAACAAAATTATCCCAAAAGAAATAATGAAATGTCAACTCCACCTTGAGTGCCGGCTTATCATGGGAGCTCTCATGATCTTCTCGCCCAGGCCTGAGACACCACGTGACTTTGCTTTTACTGTTATCATTGTTTAAGTCGTCCTTATGAGCGTATAAAGATGGCGGAAAAAGTAGTAATAAATGTCACTTGAGTAGTACCGTACATTTTCCCACGGTCATCAGAGACGCAAGGTTTGACTAAGAAGACTTGAAGATTCTGATATTTAACTTACCAACGTTGCATCTGTTATCGATGAATGGAAGAACTGAGACTTCTGGCTTGCATTGGCATGAATATTCATCCAATCGAGGACCCTCAGTACAAGTCCCACCAAAGTTACATGGACGACTGATGCAGGGGTGTAATCTAATCAGAGACTAAAATACATCATATAATATGCTAGGGTTGCCTTTAGTTACCTGTAAATCGATGGTGTCCAGTTAATTATTAATTTTTCTTCCTTCTTTTTTACCGCAAATAGCCGGTATTTTATCGAATCTTAGGAACGCTCGAGCGGTCAAACAAAAGCGGTCGAGCGGTCAAACGTGGCTACCCCTATGACCTAATTACAAGAGCACGTCTCCGAGCGGAAGAAAAACAGAGAGCTGACCTATTAGTCAGCACCCCGGGTAGTGGCTGCACTGCGGCCGACCGACCCCCACTGGTCATTACATACCATCCCAAGAACACCGCCGTCTGTAATATCCTACTGCGAAATGATACCTTTCTGTGGGATGACGACAGCACCAAGGTCACGTTTGACAAACCTCCGCTTAAAGCCTTCCGTTGCTAAAAACCTGAAAGACCCTCTCGTTCATAGCTCCTTACCGCAGGTTCTCCAACGTCAGATAGGTACTTTCCCTTGCAATAGACGTGACTGCCGGACCTTTCCCTTAATTAACTCCTCTGACCGCATTACCACTACACATGGGCAGATCAAAATCTCAGGATTTTTTACGTGCATCACCAGCCAGCTGGTCTATTGTATTTCGTGCCGCAAATGCCCTGGGGTCGTTTACATAGGAGAGACAGGCCGTAGACTTGGCGCCCGTTTTCGGGAGCACCGTTTGGACGTCATTAAGAAGAAAGTGGCCCTGCCGGAGCTGGAGGACATGCAAGTAGCCGTGATTAGAGCTGGTCTACCCGAACAAGACAAACGAAGACGCGAGGAGATGCGCTTTATTCATAATTTTGGCACCCTCGCGCAGGGTCAACTCAATCGAGATTTCTCTTTCACATGACTTGTCCGCGCACCCACTCGCTTTGTTTTCACGTGACTTGCGCCCACGCACACTCGCTTGCTTTTACGCGCGCATTTTCAAATTTTCAAATTTTCCGCTATAACGAACCCACATCTTTTTCCTGATGAGGGCAGCATTGCCGAAACGTCGGAGTTTTATTTGCAATTAACAGCGTTGAACTTACCACCTTCCCACTTTTAGCACACAACAAACGCTACGCAGAAACCCCTGAGTTATTTGTTTTGGGTCTCCTCAAAAGCCCGCTTCTTTACGGTGCTGCTCGACAGGGTCCGAGGGTAGGGTATTTTTTGAATGGCTATTATCGCTATTCGGTGAAAATCGTGTGCATTTAATTTTAGGCTTGCTGTTCATGTCTGGTGTAAATTTCTCTTGTATCTGCATTTATTTTGAAAAGCCGATACATTTTGCCTTTATAAATCAATTATTTTAATTCTCTCGTAAGCCTTTGCCTTTTATGAGAAATACTACTTATGTGCATTTTGATTTTACAATTTCGTGCTCTGTGCGGAATTAGGAGACTGATTGGCTGAGTGTGTTAATGGTCAATAACGCACGTCGGTCTTCCTGGGACTCTAAAAGCTTCTTTCCTCCAGGAATTGTTCAGTCTCTTTATTGCTTTAGCAATATTCTATACTCCATGCAGTATTTGAATTTCTAGTTCATTCTATAGGTGTCTCTGAGTGAAAACCTCACATCAAGTTTCTAACACTTCAGCAAAAGACGAGAGGGACAATTCTGAATCTAATGAAAGAATGTGCGTCTGCCAATCATAGTCAGAGTTATATCAGGCTAGAAAAGGGTAATTTTCACTATCCGTCTAGTTCACTCTTCCATGTGCTTCTTTGATTCCTGCTCTTGCTGTCTAACTGAAGCGAACTTTTCACTCAAGCCCATTTAATACTTGATCCCGTAGTAATCGTATCCGGTTCTTTCTTGTACTTTTTCAGGCTCCAAATATTTTTCTGAGCTGCTTAGCTCACAGGTATGAATGCTATTGTTACTTCTTTCCAGGTTGAAAGAGAGACATGCCACAGGACCATACTGCATGCATAGATAGGAACAGTCGAAGGAATCTTTGACTTCCATCACTGCTGTTACGCTGCCGATAAGCGACTTTCCATCAACTTTGTAAAAAGTCCTTTCTCGTGTGATGTAACGATGGCCTACAGCGAGCAATGGTAAGGTCATGAGCCAGGTTGTTAAACCAGTGGCCTTGATAGTAGGTCGCATTTCAAAGCTGAGTCACTCCCTCTGTGGCACTGTCAAAACAAATAAAATACGATGATTCGTTAGAATAGCGCATCAATATGGAGCCGCTGTCCCTGCATTCCTGTGACCAACTCGGACTGGGTGGAAAAAAAAACTGTTACCGTAGTGATTTATGTAAAAACTTACATCTCTCTTATCCAAGTACAGATAACAAATCATTGTGCTTTGCTTATATCTAAAACAGGTAGTGTACTTCACTCCACTATATGCAATTACATCTCGCAAGTGACCTTCACTGCAATGAAACCATCAGTTCGAAGAACCCAAAGTCTTCTCAGTTTCAGCTCTATACTTTGAACTTCTCCTAGACGAACGCGATTTTTTTTAGGGCGGGTTTCACAATTCCCAATGTTTTTAATCTCGATAAGCGACCACGTCACAGCAACTGATATCTTACTACAATGAGTTTCTCTTTCTTCTCAGCACAAAACAATTTCACATTATTTTGATCACTTCACTCGTCGAGTACTAAAAAATAAGCTTTACTGAAAAAATGAATAAAAGTGCTTCACTTAGGCTTGCTTGGGTTTGTTCCTAATCATGTAGTTAAAATACAAAGAAGGTGTATGACTTTGTTATCTAAGGGTCATGAAATGGAATATCACTTAGTAATTCCCAGCTGAATTCCGTTACTGTTCGTTACACGAATTAGTCAGTCAGTGTATTTTTGTATTTTACAAGAGCTGATAGATGAGACATGAAACTGAATTTTTGTAATAAAATCTCTTATGTTCTCTATTTTATAATGACCTGATATCACTGCATTGTTTCGGCCTTCACCCGCCTTCAGCGGCTAAAACTACATCTACCCACCTTAAATGCCCACTTTGAATTTAACAAAACTTTTATACCTGCAGCGTAGCGTTTTCTTAAGGGGATGTCTTCAAATTCAGTACCATTCGGTTCCAAGAGAATAAAATTTCGGCTTCAGTGTACCTTTGTCCAAGGTTAGACAATACCTTCATCAATGTTTTAAAAGAATATCTTCAAGGAAATTTTTTTAAATTAAAACTTCAAACCTTTGAATGAAATCAGTGTTACTGTTAAATATTTAATAATGTTTATTGAATGAGAAAACAAAGCACTTAAAGAAGGCCCGATTTGATTTCTTAAATTTTAAGCTAGTCAAAGCTATTCTTCAAACTATCGCTTTATATTCAAAATCTTGAAACCAATAAGTACAATTCAAGAGTACAGTCCCGAAAATAAATATGGGCGTTTTACTTGCCTATGTAATGTCAAACCTTTATGAGTGTAAAATTATAAACAAGGTCATCGTAATGTTATGGCTTATTTAATATCTGGTTTGCAAGTGACGTCACCGTTGCCAAAAACAAAACCGCGTCTTTCCGCTTTGAGCTTAACTCTATTTTTACTCAAATTTTGAGGGAAAAATGTCATGGCTTAGTCACCAACATGACGCCTTGCCACGTGACTCCAAACCAAGAATAATCCAGCCAGGTTGCTTCTAGGAAACATTGATTGAAATGAAAGCTCATTCATTCATTCATTCATTCATTCATTCATTCATTCGTTCATTCCAAGAGAGTATAAAGGGGACAGGGATGGCATCCCTCATACATACCCTATTCCATACGTAATTCGTCTCGAGTTATTTTTAAGACCACAGATCCCAAGGGGGATTAGACAACAGCCAATCACATAGCGCGAATGTGTTCCGCGTGGATGACCCACGTTCAGAGCCACGCGTCCATCACGAATTGACGCAGAACAAAATGGCGAAAGACGCAGAGAGCGATATTGCTATTTGTTTTGTCGACGAAAACGACTACAGAGAGATTTCTGCTAAAGCTGTGTCAGCGAAACAGAAATTAAAAAAGAATCGCCCTTCCTCTCTTGTATAGAGCTAACAGTACAGCAGGGAAATCCTTACCACACTGAATATTCTCTCAGGATCATTTCTAATTTACAGTTTAAAGGGAGCAATTTCTGGTTTGATATTTATACTTTTATTAGTCTTTTATTATTCAACAAAAATAACACTTGGCGTCCTACTTGCTTTATTGTACAAACGACCGGTTTCATTAGACCGGCGAAATTTCTCATTTTATTAATTAAAAGCACTGAGGTTACAACAACTTCGAGTTTAACTGATTTCACGGGTTATCAAAGAGTCTAGCGATTCCCTTTTCCTAGGTGAGCGCCGACTCATTTCGCTTCAATATTCTGGAATGCTCTCGATCTCTTTACGCTTTCATATTGCCTTTCGCCCGACTTGTTTTGCACGGCAGTTTAGTCATGCGAAACCTCCACGAAACATCCACGCAGCGCGCGAGGTAACTTTACCCCGATTCTAAAAATAACTCGAGACGAATTATCTATGGAATAGGGTGTGTATGGGGGATGCCTTCTCTGTCCCCTTTATCCCTTCATGGTTCATTCACAACAGTTAGTTTTTACATGTTTCACATTACAAAGACCCTTTCTTTCCCAGTAATTAAGTTTATTTGTAACACCATACGTAAAACATATTGGTTTTATTTCTCGGAGTTGAACTTCCAACTATGCCTGTCTTGTTTCCGCAATTTGATTTCAGTACGTGCATTGGATAGTGAACAGTGCCATCTGCCAGCCAACCATACCTGAAATAGGTATATGTGTTTGTGTTCAAGGCTTGGTAATGCATGCTGGGAGATAGGCTTTGGTAGATTGTGCTAGCATAATTTTAAGCATAATTCAGCAAAACGAGCATTATTTTAAGCTTTTATTTCAGTTTAGTACTGCTAGCATAATCCGAGCTTTTATGCGTTGAAAACAAAAAAATCCATCATAGCTCTAGAATAATAGTTTTTATTTTATTTCTGTATTGTTTTTGGAAAATATTGAGGTCTGTGCTAAGGCAGGCGGCAGAGGTCACCCTGTCCATTTCTGAGAGACTGTCTAACTATCTTGCCGCCGCCCAGGACGTCATCATGCCCTGGGAATAAGATAAAGTGAAGTGGTGGAGGCAACAATCTGAAAACCTACCCCATTTGTCTTCTGCAGTTATGAAGGTTCTGCTGGTGCAGCCCTCGTCTGCAGCCGCTGAACGAGTATTCTCTATTCTTAACTCATCGTTCAACGATTAACAAGAGCATGCTCTCGTGGACTATTTACAGGCTTGTGTTACGCTTCAGTACAATAACCGATAACACAGAGATTAACAACATGCATAGTTGTCTTTATACTGAACTGAGGGCTTTGCCTAGATGGCGTCTAAAACAGGTATGCGGGCTTTAACTTTCTGACCCGGATTCAGAACCCAGAATCGGTTGATTTTGGTATCATTTGTTAATCATTTGGCTCTTCGAGGTGCGCACATGCGTATTTGCGATGCTAAAGACTGTAAGACTGGAAGGTGGGCTATATGAATGTTCATTAAAATCAAAATTGATAGAGTTAAGCTATTGATGATCTTTATTTTCCTTAAAATCAGTGTAAAATCTAAGTAGCATAATTTCGGTGACAGAGAGCATAATTTTCAGAAAGTAGCATAATTTTGGCATAATTTCTAAAAAAATATGAGCACTGCTAAAAGCATAATATGCTTTTTTTTCGAGCACAATCTACCAAAGCCTACTGGGAGAGAGTGTGGTCTAAGCGCGCGGAGATGGAAAGGCATGGTATGATCCTTCTTCAGAGGATGGTATATCACTTCTCGCGAGCTTCATGTCCTAAAAAGGGGGCTTTATATCTTGCGTCCCAAAAAAAAGAGTTTTAAAGCAAAGTTTGTTATATATGATACGTTTTCAAGGTTTATCTTTTCTTGTTCCAACCAAGAAAAAAAACCAACTGCAGCATTAGTGTGATCATCATATAAATCACTCATGAGAGGTTTGTACACAACAAATACAAAAAAATGGAGACAAAAAATACCAACGAGTTACTTACGCACATTTTTGAGACACTAAGTCATCTTGGGAGAAAGGATTGACACAGTGGGTTAGTGCACGCCTTTTACATAACATAAACTTTATTTATACTCGAATTTTAAAGTAGCTAACAAGCTAATATCTTCGAGCTGACACTACATGAAAATAATATAGAAATATATAGAGGATATTTCTGTGCCACCCAGAGGATCTGAGTTCGATTCCGAGTGTGAGCTCAAATCCATATTTAGACTCCTTTACTTTCCGTGCATTTACGTCCGAAAAACGAAGCACTAATGAAGAGAAGGGGTAAGATATGTGCACTGTCGCTTCAGGTTTGTTAGTTAAATCATGACAATTTCAGGTAACCGTCAAGTATAATAACGAGGACCTTTTTGTTGAAATGGCCCTAATTTACGCCGTTAAGTCGTTAATAATTACATAAAGTTAATTCAAACTTCAAACTTACATTTCTTTTGTAGTATTCTGAGTCACATTCTAGGTTGTCTTGTAATGCCCTTGTCCTTAAAACTGAAAGAAAGTGCGCGGTAGAATTGTTCGTCTGGGATATATTTTCTCGAGGGATTCTCAGCTAGTTATTACTGGCCGCTGAGTCTAAAAATTCAAAGCAATCAGAAGAATAATACTCACCACATGACTCTGAGCTATATCTCCTCGGAGAACTTCGTAAATGTTTGAAAACGTGAGAATTATATGTATCATTGGAGATAACAAAGGAAACATTGATGTGAAACAGGTTTGAGCATCACATACCTTAACAACTTGTTAAAGGTTCGTAAATTTATCTTCGAATGTTTTCAAGAATTTTCAATCATCTTGACTATCATGAGCTTTCGATATAGTGCTGTTCATCTGGCGGGTTATAGAACATCTTGTTCTTACCGCACTATTCTGAAAACCACCTTTGGGTGAGGGTGACTGTACTTGCATAAAGATGTGAAATATTTTTATCATTAAAAAGTCAATCGCTCTCTGGATATCTGATTAAAAGACTCGGTTTCGATTTTAGTATATTACTCGTTTAATACACAAATGGTTACATACAAATTCAGTAGACACCTTCTCCTTTTCACATATATTGCTGTGAAGTGACGTTTCTTATAAATTCAAATCAAACCCCTATTCTAGTGTGAAAGAGATATTTTTTGAGGTTTTCTGATGTACATTTGCTCAACAATAATCTAGAGCAAAAGTCAAAGTGATTATTATTTTTTCATTTAAAATAATTCTAATAAAAAAGCTGTGCACCCTAGAGCTAGTTAAAGTGATGCATCTTATTACTCTTCTAAACTTGTTATATTGCGGCCCTGTGGGAGGTAAAACAGATTTCATACGTTTGATAACTTCAAGAGAATTTGTTAATTGAAATTAATTGATCATGTTTAATTTATATATTTTTTATTCGAAATTACTGACTAAATGTAAATTAATTGTTACGGGAAATCGAACTCAATGAAATAACGATCCTAATGACTGCGAAAAAAACAGCTGAAGATGCTAAGAAGCTGATTTAATGTATGAGTTCACACGACACTGGTATGGTATATATAACTGCAATAGTCGTCAAATTGTGAAGAAAAACTAGCTGAAAACAGAGGATTTTTAAATGTCGTCACACCTTTTATATTTTCAGCCCTCTTACTTACTTTCTCACTGAGTGCACTCTTTCTATCCCTCAGTTAAATGAGACTCGCGTTGTTAGCAAATGTAATACATAAATCAACGTCAAGTGGAGTCTCAACAAATGTTACGAGCATTGCGGTACTATAACGCATGCGTAAAGCCGAGTAACTTCTGTGCAGTGGAAATCTCTTCCCCATGCAGACGCCACTTCGCTCTTGCCCTACGACCGGTAAATTCGGTTCATAATAGCTACTTTACGAGATTAATAAAATGAGGAGGAAGAAGAGGAGAAGGAGGAGGGAAAACAATAGAATTGTGGTGGTGGTATGTGTAGGAAAAATTATAGAATCGTGATGGTGGTAGAGGAGAGCTGAAGCCGATAGCTTAGATATTTGCAACACATTATATGCTTATAGTAAAATAAGACGTCCTTCCAAGGAGAGGCTAGCAGGGTTTGCTCCAGTTAAGTTTGTTTATAGCACCAAACGTCTCTCTTTATGGTTTTATTTTGTGGCTTTGAACTTCCAAGGATTCCAATCTTGTTTCCACACTGAGGGTGTTTCTGATGCATCGGATAACGAAACGTGCTATCTGACAGCCATCCAAACCTAAGGTGGTTAGATACTTGTTTAAATGTAGAAAAGTATAATTAGAAGAAAAATTAAAACTTACTTAGTAAATAGGCTTTGACACTTGCAGTACTCAAGTAACCACGAAGTCAATCATGGAGTCATTTAGAGTCAGTCTTTGGTCATTCATTTACGATTCATTCATTCATTCACATCAGTCCATCCATCCATCCATCCGTCCATCCATCCATCCATCCATCCATCCATCCATCCATCCATCCATCCATCCATCCATCCATCCATCCATCCATCCATCCATCCATCCATCCATCCATTCGTTCGTTCGCTCATTCGTTCGCTCATTCGCTCGTTCGTTCGTTCGTTCGTTCCGGGGCTCACAGCTATCCGAAGACCATATAGCCAAATTTCTGACTAAAACTGAAAAGAAATGCCAAAATACGACAAAAGTATTGCTCGTGGTCGATGTCATCCATTTTTTTTAATAACTCTCTCTGCTCTAGGTGGAAGAAGCAAAAATTTACATACTTGCAGTGCTCAAGGCCAGCCTCCCAGGCAACATAAAGCTGATGGTAGGTGGCGATGGTTGCTCCCAGAAGTTCACAAAATCGTCTGGCATCATAATAATTCAAGTTGTATCTGGTGACTGCACCCCAAAATACTCCTTTAGTGGGGCTGAGGACAGATGTTTTGTTGGTATCTAAACAGTGATAACAAATGTTACAAAAAATGTAAAAGGCCGAGAAGGAAGAATAATGCTACAAAAACGTTTGATGCAGAGAGCGAAACAACAGCAAGAATACAACTCTGCCTGTTTTTGAGATATTCGTACAAATATAAGGGCAGTTGTGAACAGGTCAATACTTCGACTACAACTACTTATCGCCATGGCCAGTGTTGTGCTGCAGAATAGGAGCACTCCTGACTGAGCATTTAGCAGACTAGTTTCGTTGTACAATTGTTGGCCTTGAAAATTTCCTTAAGACGTAACCCCAGCTTTGCTAATAAAATAGTCTTTTTAAAGCATGACCACCGTAGCCGATTTAGCCATGGTTGTGCTAGCCAGACTTGTAGCGGGAGTACCGAGCTCGATCGACCGGTACAAGTCCACTGGACTGGACTATGCCCAGTAAAGTTGTATCACTAAATGATTAATACTTTGTTTTTAGTGCAATTTCACTCAGCTGTCTTGGGGCCTTCATATAATGGTTTATTTAGTTGCCGTTAAAAAGCCAGTCTTTGGCTTGTGGAGCAAGTTAATCCGCGATCACAAACTTGGAAAGTAATCGTTACTTTTGAAGGGAAAGCTGCTGTTTCGTTGACAAAAGTTGACAAGGACTTTGAACCGCTCTCCTCAGCAGCCTTTGAGTTCGTTCAACAAGCTTTAAGGCCCTTGAAGAAAATAAAAATAAAACCAACACATGTTTTTCAAGATCCTCCGCAACTTACCAACATTGCATCTGTTGTCGATGAATGGAAGAACTGAGATTTCTGGCTTGCATTGGCATGAATATTCACCCAATCCAGGGCCGTCAGTACAAGTCCCGCCAAAGTTACATGGACTAAGGATACATGGGCGGAGGAACACTAGATTCTATTATCAATAAAACATAACATGCATTGTTAGGTAGGCTCACCTCAGTTATATATATATATTTAAATTTTCCCCAACAATGTAATCTCAAAGTATATAGTCGATGGTTATGAATATTCTTATCATTAAAATCCCCTGAAGAGTGAGAGATCACGAAACAGGCTTGTCGGGATGAAAGTGTAGTTTTTTTCCTACTTCCAATATATATATATATATATATATATACACTACCACAAGTGAAGAGTAAAACAATATGTTTTTCGTCTCTCACCTATATTTCGGCCGTGTTATAGGTGAGAGACGAAAAACATATTGTTTTACTCTTCACTTGTGGTAGTGTATTTATTGAGTTGTGAAGGGAGTGTCTTCTAAAAGATGCTTGTGATAGGTTATATATATATATATATATATATATATCATAAATTAAGTATTTACAATTTCGAATGTTTAATTTTTTCCAAGATCAACTTAACATCGATGGATGTTAGCACGCTTTAGCTTTGTTTTTAAAGTAGGAATTATTTGAATGAATAATAAAACAGCGGATAACCCCCTTCCCGATCTCCATAATTGTTCATAAGATACTCAGCCTCATTTATTAATTGTTAAATACTTTACCAGGAGGCATCCAATCACCTAACGGTGGTTTTCAGGAGGATCCTCGAAAATAGAGGTCAACTCAAAAATACAAGTTAAAGTTAAAGATACTAACCAGGGTCAATATTTTTTTTATAAAAACTTTTCAGTTCGTGTTTAAAAATCGTTGAAAACTAAAAAATACCAACTACGATTCAAAATTGTTCAATAAAAACTGTTTCCACTTGACATGAGTCTCTTGAGCTCTCGGCAATAAGGCCCAAACGTTAATTGCTTTATATTATGTTTTGTTTCTGCTTATTCTGTTCTTGGCCTGCTGACTATAGGCATGTAACCATATTTCGAGTATTATAACCGTGTTGCTGGCTCATTGTAGACCTGAACACATCAAAATGTTGGGGAACTTTCCCTTCAGTGCATCTTGCACAAGACAACATCGGTGACCGATCCGCCTCGCGTGCAACGGGACCCACCGCAACAATGTCAGGGCCTCAGCTGATGTCACTTTTGCCTTTACAATCTCCTCCTTGCCAGGATAGTTCTTTCATATATCATATATTCCACTTAGTTGTTAATTGCGTAAATGCGTATTCATGATTACCTTCAGAACATATTGAAACAAAGGTTTTTGATGTGGGGAACATTTTGGACCTATCTGAATGTAGTTCCATAATTGTCTTTGTTTCGTTCCTGTCACAAATTCGTTGTGCAAAACTAGAAGAAAAAAATAATAATCGGATGCCCCGAAGAGCAGCTGATTGCTTAGGAAACTCTAATTACTTTACGTGTTGTAGCCTCTAACTCCTTTAAATCTCTCAATCATTCGAGGTTTGGATCAACAGGGAGAAGTCAAAAAACTGAATCCATTCTTCCCCCTAAAGAGTGAGAAAATGTGGCAGCAAATCCTCCTCTTTCAAAAGTATTGAAGAAATACACGGAGCGTTGTCAAAACAGACAAGTTTTCCATTGAAAAGATAAATTTTCCATTGAATAGGAATAATAAAATTGCCCACGCTAAGAGCTAGGCGCCCTAAATGGGTTGGTTTCGGTCACCATACCTGAAACTCGGTCCCGTAGTAATCGTAATCAAGTCTTCTCTGCATTTTTTGAGGCTCCAAATATTTTTCTGAGCTGCTTAGCTCACAGGTATGAATGCCGCTATTATTGCTTCTTTCCAGGTTGAAGGACAGGCATGCCACAGGACCATACTCCATGCACAGAAAGCAACAACGGAAAAAATCTTTGACTTTCGTGACTGCTGTAACATTGCCAAGCAAGGATTTTCCTTCTATTTTATAAAACTGCCTTTCACGTGTCAAATATGGTTGAACAAGTACAAGCAAGGATAGAAGAACGAGCCATTTCCTCAAACCAACGTTAAAACTGGAAGATACCATTTCACAAACTAACGTGCTTTCCTTTACTCTGAAAAGCCGCAAAATCGAAATGAGTGAGAAGAAAGACAAAAACAAAAAGGGTAGAATCAATAGAGCTAGGAGTAAGTTGTAAAATCATGCAACTCTCAAGAGGGTCAGAAAAGAAAAATAGTTTAAAGAAATAATAATAAACTGCTAACAAAAACTACTGTGACTACCTGTACGTATAACCTCCCACGCACGCACAGGCTTTTGTTAGACCACTTTACGACTGTACAAAAGGTCTTAGCCTTAGCTGGGGCTCAGCATGATGAAACTTATCTTGAAAATATTTAAAAAAATACTTTATTAGTGGACATCTGTTAATTCTCACACTCATTTTAATTGCATTTGACCAATTGTTTTTGTTAGCTCTCCTGAAATCATAACGTCTTCCAATATAGACAACTTGAACGCGAATTTCTTCGCTGCCCAAATAGACCCATAGATTCTAGACATCGGAGAAGCCAAAAATACACAGGTTAATCCCAGAAGAACCAAATCGACGAGCCACCCTTATGCTCTCCATTTGAATTCTGAACTGTGACTTAGCTAGTCAGGTTAATAAAAACAGTAGGTTACGTCACGTATAAACATTTTGCGATACATTGTTGAAAGATAAGACAATATTAAGAATCATTTTCAATTTCTCCAAGGGATCATGACAAATTTATACTAACTACAACAGAATTGAGTCTATTAGCCAGTAAAAATGCAAATATTTCGAATATGCGTTAAGAGAGAGCAAAAAATATATAAATGAATGAATAAATAAATTAAAATGACTTCCTATGTGGGTTGTTACATGTACACAATTTCTGATGTATGTTGAAAAAAAAGATGATATTAAGAATTGATTTCAATTTCTTCAAAACATCATATGGCAAAGTTACACTAACCACCACTAAATAAAGTCTAAGTGCGTTAGTTCAACCGCCATAAGACCAGAAAGGCCTCGCAATAACATGAAACCATACCTAGTGCATCGTAGGTTTGTACCAAACAGGAAAACATCTTGCCAAAAGTTGCTTTGATTTAAGTATTCTGTTGAACTTATCTTATACAATACGATGTGAAATTTATACAAGTAACTCGCGATAGTTCCTTAAATTTTTAATGTTATCGCTTTGAACTCCTCGCAGCACCCTAATGGGAAAATTCCAAATACAAACGATTCTTAACAAAATATTAATAAGTAAGGATTTTTTCGTAAGAAATTAAGACCTCTTCTTCTACGGGTGTACAAGGTTAAATGGCACACAGAGGTAGAGTAGAGGAGCTATATATTAAAGCTTAAGTGTAAAGAAACCTTTGAATAGTTTTACCAATTTTTTGTTATTACCATTTTATTACATTTTGAACTTATAATAAATTGAAAAGTATTTGATTGACACTGTGGGTTAATAATCCTAAGATTACACTATGATATTAATGAGGTTTCATCACTATAGTGCGTGCACAGGCAACGATTGGTCGAAGCTGATTGTTTGCTACTGGCATAACTGAGGTGATTCGTCTTGTCATAAGTGCCCTTAGAGTCAAGAGGCTAATGAAATTGTCGAATCAGATGATGAGGCAAACAGAGACTGGGAGAGTTTATCAACAGCCTTCCTGTTGCATCGTAGATGCTGTTAAACAAATGTCAGATTTAATCCTTATAACACCATGCGTCGAATGTGCTGCTCTTGTCGATCTGCCAATTATAACCACTAACTCCAATAAAATTCCCGCAATTCCCCAATGACTGTTGCATTGGATATTGAGCCGTTCCATCTGCTAACCAGCCATATCTAGATAAAACAAATGTTCGATAAGTTGCGAGGTACAAAAGGCTTAGGGCCTGTTTACATGGAGGTGGGGGACCCCAGGTAGGTGAGGTAACATGTGGCGGGTTACCCCACCTAACATGTAAACGTGATCAAATTAAAACGAGAGATTGTATGGACAGGCGGGTTACCCCACCTAAGCGGGTTACCTCATCTACCTGGGTCCGCCACCTCAATGTAAACAGGCCCTTAATTGATCTCTGATATACAATCAAATACCTAACTGTAAACTACATGCCATGGGGGTGGTGAGTTGTAAGAAGGAACAAAGAAATAAGGCGAGGGCGTAGCCAGGGCTGGAATCTGTGCTGAGCGGGACTTAAGAAATTGCTTACCAACTTTAAAACATCATTTTAGTCCTGCCTCATACCCAGACGTCTCTCTTTAAAACGTGCGTGCAAAGGAAGGCGGGAAGGAGACAACGGCCGAGACGGCGCTTCGCCTGCCGTCTGTACCCTTCCCATGGTCCCTTGCGGTTCATCACCAGTCACTCGTTTCGCGCTCGCCTCTGCCATGCGAAAAACGAAGCGGCTGAGGAGGAGGCTGATTTTAGTCACATTTGGAAACGCGTTATTTAATAACGGTCCTATAACGCTAGTCAAAGAAGTTTACAGAAAATGTTTCGTCGAGTTTTGATTGCAAACATGTACTAAACACAAGCGAGGCGTAGGAAGAGAAGCAGTAGCCAACTGCGACTCTTCGGTTAATTTCGTGTTCTACCCTGCATCTCTTGCTTGTATTGATAACGAAGACGCGAGGAGGGAGCATGAAAAAGCCCTGCGCGAAAGTTCCAAGGCAGAAGGAATCTCGACAGCGATGTAACATTCTGCATTCTCGTAAATTTAATCCGGTAATTCATGACATTTGTAAACATTGAACAGCGCGCGCTCTATACTTATTAAATAATTTGAAACGTTTCTGACAAATTTTAACGTTTTAATTACTTGCAGTGTTGAAATCCATTCTGCCAGGCTTGCAGGAGGTGAGAGTATTCGGCCAACGTTGTTCCATGTAGTTCACAAAATCTTTGGGCGTCAGAAAAACTCAGAAGGTATCTTTCAACGCTAGCTACGTAAAGTTTTGTATATTGAGCAACAGGATAAAACTCTACACCAGTAAGATCTGAAAAACATTAGAAAAAGTATTGACTTATTAATTATTATTAATTTTGTTTCCTCATAGATCCTTGGAAAATTGATTACCTTGAATTGTTAGCGAAATTAACGCAAATTAGAAACATAAACCTCTTGAGGTCAGATAATGCTTATAATGCCATAATGCTTATACAGATCTGCCTTTTTGAGTGAGAAAATCCTTTAGATTGGCCTTCTGAAGTACGTGTAATTTGTTAGTAGTCGTGGTTGACATGTGCTGTTCAGCCTCCAAATCATGGGGAAAAGATCCAATAACTTTCAAACGGCTCTCTAGTACGAGCAGTTTTAAAATGCAATATGATAAAAAATCATATCCTCAAATGTTAGCCATGGTTTTCTCCCTCTTAACTTCCAACTAAGAATTATTTTTTATCATAATACATCTATGATCTTCTTTATCTTGCTCATGTGAAAACTGTAACTTTATTTCTTAGATTGAATTAATTTAATGCATGATAGCTGTAACTAGTAACTAGACAGGAGTTCCTTTCCTTTCCCAGCTCTAAAACCTTGCTGCTTTAGCTGTTGCACACCTTTTTTTAAAAATTATTCATGTTTTAGTTATGTTAATCTATATCATCTTGTGGTCTACAGTTTTCTACATTTCTCTCTATTTTTTTGCGTAACTTGAAAAGTTTGACTAATAAAGATGATGATCAGGGTTTTTCTTGATCATTTCCCCTTTTTAATTGGTAAGATAATTGGCCGGGAAATTTCATCAAATCAGAAACAGATATACATTTTGAACGAATATTTATAATTATAATTATCTGTGAGCCCTATCATTTTAGCCTCCGATTTTATAACAGATACAAAGTGCAATCGCCTAAGGCAGTCCTTTCTTTAATCAAACTGACAATAGTTAATTACTACTGACTTCTATTTATAAGTCAATTAATAATTCACCTACCGATACTACAGTTATTGTCAATAAAAGGGCGGATGGACACTTCAGGTTTGCACTGGCAGGAATAATCACCTGGTTTAGGACCATAACTACATGTCCCTTCGTAGTTACATGGGCTACTGAGACATGGCCAGACACTAAATAAAGACTTAAAAAGCCCATAATATATTGGTTAAGTATGATGATTTTCATAATTAATGTGCTTAGTGTTGATGACCTTTTGTTTCCCCTTTTTTTTTAAATTACCCCTCACAAGCAAGAAGGAACCACTCATGAACCCCTCGGTTGCTCAAGCAAAACCATACCCGAAAAACGTTGCATTTTGATTCTTTGGTATGCCAAAGACCAGTGGCATAAGACCAGTGACGTCGTTTAAAATGGCCCGACGCCACATTCAGATTTTGCCTAGGAAATATAGTCCAGAAAATGATTATTGAAATGTGTCAATATAAAACATTTCCTTCATTATTTCACTGTTTTTATATTCTACTGCAGCGGAATAAGCTCATTCGGTAGAACGCTTGACTGAAGACTGAGAGAGCTGGACCATTACTCGGGGTCTTCAAATAACTGAAAAATGAAGGAAATCTCTTTGCCGCCCTGCAAACGGCTAGCTAGACCTTCCGCAAGGGTCAGAGGTAAATTGGCAGTCCCGTCTCCGTCTCTCCCGTCTCTCCGTTTTAGAACCTTTATAGTCATTCAGTTGGTTTTCGAATTCATTTGATTTTCGAATTCACGATTTGCTTTGTGATTAGCCTGTTTAACATAGACTTAACCAAGTCCTGTTAACATTAAAAAAAATTGATAAATAAAAGACTATGGAATAAAAAGTTACTAAATAAATACATACTTTATTTGTCATCCCATAGTAATCGATACCAGGAATTTCCTGCTTCCTTTGAGGCTCCAAATGAAATTCAGAAACATTGCTTAGTTCGCAGAAATGAAAACCGTTCTCATTCAGGGTATTGTTGAAGTTAAATGACAAGCAGGTGAAGGGACCATATTCCATGCACAGAAACGAGCAATCGTGAACATCTTTGATCTGTCTCACTACAGAAACATTTCCCACCAGTGACTGGTCTTTTAGTCTGT